GGAATCTCTACCCTCCTTAGTTCTGGGTAATTCCTCATCCTGATTCACCTTACTTAATGACTTGGGAAAATATTGACCTTTACTGGATATATATTCAGTCAATCTATAAACAAGTATTTATTGAAAGCATGTGATGTGCTCAGCATTACGCTAGGCCATATAGAATATACAGACAAATGGAAACACTTAAAAATCAGGAAGTTATTTGCTGAACTACTGTCTCTTATTCACTCAATGTCCCTCTCTTTTTCTTTCATCCTTTGTTAAAAAGGATTGCTCTGCTTAAATTGGACTAAATAACTTCTAATGTCTCTTCTAACTTTAAAACCCAATGTGTCTTTAACTGTTGCCTTCAAATAACTTAAAATAGATCTGGAGAAACAAGACTAGAGTGTGAAAGAATGAATGAACACTGTAATATAGAAACATGGTATCAAATGTTAAATTAAATGTTATAGGTCCTATACTATAGGAATTCAGAGAAGAGGGAGATCATTGAAGGCTGAAGCAATCAAGAGATTTCATGGGAAGAAAGGTTGTATTTCAGCTGAGTCTTGATGGGTACAGATTTGAATAGATGGGGAGGTTGGGAAAGGCCATTATTCAATTTTTTCCTACACTATCTATTTGCCCTTCTCCTTTGCTCATAAGCCATTTTATGGCTTTGGGGATCTTCTGCTTTCATTGAACCACCAAGGAAACCCTAGGACTTGGTTAGCTTAATTCTTATCTTTGCTTACCTTCTAATTCCTTTTCTTTCCCTCAGTAACTGTTAGGTGTATCTTGTCACCAAGAGGAGGCTAGGGAGTCTGTATCAGCCTGGAGGATTAAACTGGTAATATTGAGAGGTGTCCCTACCCAAAGTTATCAATCCCTACTTGCATCTATGTAGGGGTGCAAATATATGTTTAGACCCTTCTTTATAGGTGCTTCCTTTTATGGGACCCAATCATCTTTGCTCACATGTGCTTGGGATGCCTAATATCTCATCTCCCTGGTCCTAGTTGCTAGCCTTGAGTTTTTAAATACATATATGTGTGTGTGTGTGTGTGTGTGTATGTGTGTGTGTGTATGTGTGTGTGTGTATGTGTATATATATATATATATATATATATATATATATATATATATATATATCTTATCAGTATCCCATTTTTTAATGCCACAATCATTTTCAGCTATCTCCCCTTCCACTTGTCCACTATTTCCCTTTTTTTCTAGCAAAAAAAAAACTGTTGTAATAGTTTGGTATATATAGAATCAGGGGTATAAGCCTAATTATAGCAGCACTGAGTCAAAAAGAATGAACAGTTTAGTGACATTTATTGAACAAATCCACATTGTATTTCAGAATGCATAGACCAATTCACAATTCTACCAATAGTATAATTTTTAAATGTTCCTGTCTTTTGACTTTATATTATCTTTATTTACCAAAATATCCCTCCACTTTCCCTTACCCATCAAATCATACCTTATAAGAAATGCTTTTTAAAAAGAAGGAAAAGCAGTTCAGCAAAGCTAACGAACATGTCAACAAAGTCCAATAGTACATGTACTGTTCCACACCCACACTTCCCCTCTTTGGCAGAGAAGGGAAGAATGTATATTTTCATATCACTTCTTCAGGGCCAAGCTTGGTTATTATAATTACACAGGATTCAATTTGGATTTATCTGTTTCTTTGGTTCATTGTTGCTGTCATTCTTTCCATTTACATTACTATTGTCATTATGTGTATTGTTCTCCTGGTTCTGCTTACTTCAACTTTGCATCAGTTCATATGTCTTCCCATGCTTCTCTGTAGTCTTCATAATCATTTTCTTGCTGGTTACAGTGTTGAGATGCATATTATGAATTTGATAAATGCTCTATCTACCTTTAGCTGTCTACAACAATATTCCATTCTATTCACATATCACATTTTTTTAAATCTATTTCCCCACCAATAGGCTTTTGCTTTCATTCCAGTTCTTTACTACTTTAAGAAGTGCTGCTATAAATACATGATGTATAAAAGACCTTTCTTCATATTTTTTACCTCTTTGGTGTATGTATCAGTAATGGAATCTCTGAGTTAAATAGTATGAACATTTTAGTCACTTTCTTAGCATTATTTCAAATTGTTTTCTAAATTAATTTTACACCCATAATTTATTAACATGCCCATCTTTCCATAATTCCACTAATGTTGACTATTTCCACATTTTGTAATTTTTGCCACTTTGACAAGTAGGAAGTAATGCCTCAGACTTGTTTCATTTGCATTTATCTTTTTCACAATTTGGAGCATTGTTCTTATAATTTTTGATAGGCTGCAATTCTTCTTTTGAAAATGTTCTATCCTTTGACAGCTTTGTTGTTGTTCAGTTATTTAGTCACGTCTAACTCTTCATGACCCAATGGACCACAGCATGTTAGGCCCTTCTGTCCTCACCATCTCCTGAAGTCTGTCCAAGGTGACGTGCATTGCTTCCATGACAGTATCTATCCATCTCATCCTCTGCAATTATCTTCTTTTGCCTTCACTCTTTCCCAACAACATTTATCTATTGAGAAATAACTTTTGCCTTTCTATGTCCTTCTTAATTCCTTGACTCAGAGATATTTCTTCCAAAGATTTTTCCCCCTATTTAATGACTTTTCTCCTTGTTCTGGCTGCACTGATTTTGTAACGTAGAAGCTTTTCAAATTTTCTATAACAGAGATTGTCAATTTTCTCTGAGTCAGTTTGGTGTTGGGCTTTGAAGATTCCCAAATGTGAATTCCTACAACATGTTTCCCTGTCCATTTTTGCTTCCATCACTTGTTTTTCAGTTTGTGGCTAAGCCTTTATCATCTTCTCTGCTTGTACTTAACTTTTTTTGTTTTTTTAGGCAGTTGAAGTTGTGACTTGCCCACTGTCACATAGCTAGTAAGTGTCAAGTGTTTGGTCTGAAGCCGAATTTGAACTCAGGTCCTCCTGACTTCAAGGCTGGTGCTCTATCCACTGCTCAGTCTAGCTGCCCCTTGCACTTAACTTTCTTAGCCACATTTTGATTCTGTTTCTGAACAACTGGGCATTTTTTTTCTCTGCTTTTACCTCACTCAAATAACTGTTTACTAAAAATTGAATACATTGTTTTACATTCCCCTCAGTACAGTTTCCCAACAATTAGCATGTATTACCATAGATTTCTTAGAGCTAGGATATTTGATCACTATGTTTAGAGATATGAAATATAAGGCCCATTCAAAGTGGTAACTGAGTTTGTTCCCAGCTACGGAAAATCTTGTTTATTCAAATTCAATCCATCTTCCCCTTATAGTAAGCTTAGAAGAATTGGTGACTTGCAATACTGTTCATGTCCTGTTTTTCATAGAAGCAGCTACTGGTACAATTAGTTCACCACTTTCCTAAAAAAAAAATTAAATATCATAGCTCTAATGAGACACATTCTACATTTTGGTCAGAAATATCTAGCATTGAGAATTACACAACTTAACAAAAATCTTTCTGATTGTCACTCTCGTTCTCCTGCCTGGATCATGTCAGTAGCCTCCTTACATACAGCTATTAGATTAATGCTCACAAATCGCTTTAATTACGTCACTGCAGTAGTCAAACCTTCAATGGCTCCCCTTTGCCTATAGGATTAAATAAAAATTCTTACTTTGCCTGCCATTGATTCATTGGAAAGGAAGAAAATAAACAATTATTAAGTACCTGCTATGTGCCAGACAGCACACAGACAGCTTCACAAATATTACCTCATTTGATCCTGATAATCATCTCATTTGATCCTCAGAGCAACTCTACGAGATTAGTGCTGTTATAATACCATTTTACAGCTGAGGAAACAGGCAGACAGAGGTTAGCCAACTTGCCCACGATTACTCAGCTAGTAAGTATCTGAATACAGATTTGAACTCAGATCTTCCTGACTTCAGGTCTAGTACTCTATCCACTCTACTACCTAGCTATCTAGGCAGCCCATCTGTCCTTCTAAACATCTTCCATGACTCCCCTACATGAACTCTACCTTCTAGCCAGAAATGTCTGCCTATTCTCCTGTGGATGTACTTGTATATTCCTGCTACCTTCATTTATACTTCCCCTGACTGGTGTACCTTCCTTAGACTCCCTCCTTCCTCATCTATCATTCCATTCCATTCCATTCATTTAACAAATGTACAAGCAACTACTAGGTGCAGAAGGAACAGTTGAAATCCCATCTCCTTTGTAAAGCTTTTCTTGATTAACCAGTGCACAGGGACTTCTCTCCAGAGAGAGAGTCTTAAAGCATTTATGACTGATTTATTCATTTGACATTCCTATTGTGAATTATCTCTCTCTCTCTCTCTCTCTCTCTCTCTCTCTCTCTGTGTGTGTGTGTATGTGTTGTGTCTTGTTTTCTCAGACTGAATTCTCCTTGAGGGTGTAGATTGTGTCTTAAACTCCATATCCTCAGATACACACATTAAATGCTTTATAGATATCTGTTTATCCAATTGGGTGTTGATTCACTAGGGTACTTCAACACTTGATATATGATTTCATGCCCATGGGGGTTGTCATTGCCTGGTAGTCCAAAGTAAAACATTTGCCCTAATGACCACGCAATATAGACTCTAAACTCTTTTTTTCTTCAAGTGCCAGACAAAATGTTCCAAGTTATGCCTTAAAAGAGTCCCTTAGGAGAACACAGACAGCAAAAGATAGTGAAAAGAGTTATGGCAGCCCTCTTCAAGGGTCATGGCATGAACCAGGACCTTCCCTCGGTGACACTTTCCCCAACTTTGTTCTTCGTTCACGGGCAGTCCCACTGAACTTTCCTAATAAAAGTAAAGTTCTTTGGAGATTATCCTTCTGACCCTCGAACTCTCTTATCTATTTCCAAAGCCATAAACTGTATTCTAACAGGATATAAAATAGCACATTCTAACTCATTCTCCTTACAGCTCTTGTTTCTACAGCTTGACATCTGTTCCAACCCAAATCAGCATCTGAACCAGCCACAATGCCTAACGACTATACTGGAACCTGGGAAATGGAGAGCAATGACAACTTCGAAGATTTCTTGAAGGCCTTAGGTAAATGTGAATACCCCAAGGGGAAAGGGGCTGTCAGGAAAGGAAATGCCTTATCTAAATTGTAAAGGAAAATAGAAGTATTGGGATAATGGAAAGATCCCTGGACTAGGGGATCGGTGGACTTGGATTCAGCTACTGGGCATGTCATTTATTTCCTGTGTGACCTTTAACAAGTCATTTCCCTTCTCTGGCCTATAGTTTCCTCATCTGTAAAATGAGGGCTTTGGAATAGCTCTTCATAAAGATTCCTTTGATAATGTGAGTCTGTTACATTCAAGTTGATGTAAAATTCCTCTTCTGAGCCTAGAACAACTGATAAACTCAGTTAACTTAAGGGTGTTACAGTAAGGCTGATATATATTGAAACAATTGCTCAATTCATAGAGGGGAAAAATCAGTCAAAGTGTATTCTTTGGAATGGTGTAGACCAGCTGACTGGTTGCTTGTCAGAATTGCGAAGCATGCTTAGAATTCTAAGAGACAGAATGGTCTTCTGAAACTTTCCATCTGACTCTTGGCAGAATCAAAGGTCAAATCTGATGCCAAGGTGGAGCAGTCAACAAATAAAGATAACTTCCTAATTAGCGGGTTGGCGTTAGGTAAAGCCAAGTTTCTTTTCAACTTCATCTACCCTTTAAACATTAATGATTCCTCTAAATGCAAAGATGTTATAATAGATTTTGAGGAGATCTAGATCTGTGATTTCATTGTCATTGGGAATGCCAAATTAGGAACTTCCCTCTACCATTACAAATTTGCAATAATACCAAAAATTTTAATGTCTTTTTTTTGCCCTTAAAGAGCTCGCAATTTAATGGAAATGACAACATACAAACCATTAAGTACAAACAGGATATACAGGATAAATTAGAAATAATCAAAGAGACAAGGCACTTTGTATTTTAATTATTTGTGCTTATATTTTATCTCCCTTTATTTATCGAAAACTCTTTGAAGTCAGGAACTATGTGTCTTTAATCGCTAAATCCTCCAAAATAACTTGTAGTGAGCTGGTTTATTAAGAGATTTTAAATTAAAGTGCTGGTAGAGATGGAGGACTCCACTCAAGGTGATTTCCACATACCTGCCATTAGATAAGTCATTTCATTTTCATGGACTTTTCTGATTAACTGAATGACTGAGCCTCCGTTTCTTCATATGAAAAATGAGGGGGTCTGACAAGATGACTTTTGAGGTCCTTTCTAGCTCTGTATCTATAATTTTGTGGTTCTATGATTTGTCTTCTGGAATTTTAAGACTAAACACTAACTATAAAGACTAATCATGGAATTTCTATGGAGAGATGCTGGGACATCTCTACAGGGCAGTTAAGTTGGCAATAAGGAAAATAGTTTTTACCTGATCTTTAAAAGGCAGCTAAGTGGCACAATGGATAGAGTGCTGGGCCTAAAGTCAGAAGACTCATCCTCCGGAGTTTGAATCTGGCCTCAGACACTTCCTAGCTGTGTGACCTTGGTCAAGTCACTTAACCCTGTTTGCCTCAGTTTCCTCATCTGTAAAATGAGCTAGAAAATGAAACAGCAAACCACTCCAGACACTAAAATATGACTGAACAAAAACAAAAATAGTAACTATAATCATGGCAGGAGGCACTAGTGGGAGCTTGTGAACTACGTAGCAACAGAAAAGATACTTTCAGGCTGTCACTGGAGACCTTAATGTCTTCTTAAGGGTCACATGTGTGTATGTGTCAGCAACAGGACTTGAACCCGGATTTTCTTGATCCCAAGGTCAACTCTCTGTTAACTATATTATGTTGCCCTTAGCATGATATTACTACCTTGTAAGGTTTTGACTGATCAAAAGAAATGAAATGAAAGTGAATGAAAGTTTTAAAAAATTATGCCTATAACAACAAAAGGAAATGAAAGTCTGAGTAGGTCTGAATTGAAATAAATGAATTCCACCTCTGATGTTTGCTACCTATATGACCTTGAACAATTTACTTAACTTCCCTGGATCTCAGTTTCTTCACTGAAAAATGAGGTTGGACTAGTTGACTTTGGATGGCCCTTTCCATTCTAGATCTATGATCCCTTTGGTCCTTATGACCTGGGTGATATTATATGCTGTTAGAGCTAGGAGAGACCCTATAAATCATTTGGTCCAGTTGCCTCATTTTTTTTTGTTTTTTTGTTTGTTTTTGTTGGACAGTGGGGGTTAAGTTATTTCCCCAGGGTCACACGGCTAGTAAGTGTTGTGTGTCTGAGGCCAGATTTCAACTCAGGTCCTCCTGAATCCAGGGTCGGTGCTCTATCCACTGTGCCACCTAGCTACCCCAAGTTGCTTCATTTTTATCGATGAGAAAACCAAGGTTTAGAGAAGCTAAGTGATTTGACTAGTCACACAGCTAGCTGAACAGGGACCCAGGTGCTTTGAATTAAAATCCAGCAGTTTTTCTTCTATAGTTTGCTGCCCTCCCTATTCTAGAGGGAATTCCTGTTCAGATAGGGATTGGAGCAGAATGATATCCAATGTTCCTTCCAACTTTTATATTCTGTACCTAACCTCAGAGACTATTATAGGAGAATGCCATTGGCAATTCTCTTTGTGGCTTCTATATTGCAAATCAATGACACCTTCAACTTATTATATACCACCAGTGGCCATCATTTTTTGGCTGAGTAATGCTATAATAAGCTGCATTTAAAAATGTACAGAAGCAGAATGCTTACTGAAATCATAACTTTTCAAAGGGAAGTAATATATATTGCTGAAATTTCATATTCCATTGGGAGGGGAGAGGGACTTACAGCATGAATCTGGGAACCAGGAGTCCTGGGTTATAGTCCCACTTTCCCCATGGTTATGCTCTCTCTCTGCTAGTCCATTGACTCAGAGCAAGAATTAGATTGTGGGATAGTGGGGTAAAAATTAGACTGGAAATCAGGAAACCTGAGTTCAGGGTTCTTTCATCAAATCACTCTGATCCTGGGCATTTAACCTCCCTCAGCCTCCATTTCCTAATTTTTCAAATAGGAATAATAACTGCCCTGTCTACCTCATAGGCATATGGTCAAGATCAGTCAGTCAGTGAGCACAGAGGTAATATTTATGAAAATTTATGTGTGTTTTAATACCGAGTCTTATACAATGGGAAATGCTTTTATTACGGCTGTTTCCATTTCTCTATAATTAATAAATTGTCTAACTTTCATGCACCTGAGTCTCCACAAAATAGATTGGTGACTTGGCCATTGGCCAGTGAGTTTAGCTATTCTAGATGGCTTCTGTGGATAATTTATGAACACAAATTCATTTTGGTGCCTTGGTTTACTCAGCTACATCGTCTGTACCATGCAGTAAATTGTTCTTCTCCCAACTTCCTATGTGCAGTGGAGACTTAGCCTTGATCAAAATTGCTTTTTTTTTAATGAAATAAGGACCATAGAATGATAGAATAACTTATATTCACCAAAGGAATAATATGAAAATGGATTCACCAATGTCGGCTGGGGGAGGGTGTTAGGGCAAAAGACATGACATCTTCATAGGATCACAGACATAAAGCTAAAAGAGACTTTTAAGGCCTTCTGTGTCCAACCTCTTCATCTGATACATGAGGAAACTAAGATCCAGCAAGGTCAAGTGACTTGCTCAAGGTTACACAGGTAGGAAGTGGTAGAAGCAGTATACAGACTCAGGGCCTGTGATGCCAAGTTTTGCTATCTTTCCATTTCACCTTCATTTGGCTTCCCCTCAGTTCTGATAATATGGTGGCATAGCCAGAGTCCTGGTTCTGCAATGTGGAAAATCTAGGTTCAGATCCTGCCTCAGGCACTTATTAGAAGTGTGGGCCAGGACAAATCACAGCACCTCTCTGGGCCTTATTTTCCTCATCTGTAAAATGGGGATAATACTTTACTATTTAGTACAGACATCTATTCTCTTATCTCGTGAACGAGAGAGGAAATTACAAACCTGTTCTTTATTTCCCAAAGATGACTTCCTCAGTGTACTGTGATTATAAATAAGCTATATGGTAGAACTTCACAGGGTCATGGAGAGTATCAGATAAGAGAATGTATGTAAAGCTGTTCACAATTTAATAATGTCATATGTTGGGTTATCTATTATTTTCCAGTCCTTTTTCTTCTTCTTTTCTTGCAACCAACCTAAAAAAAAAATGAGTTAAATCCCAAATGCATGAGACCCCACTAATCTAAGCCTGTAGGCTAGCCTGACTGGTCATAGAAGAGCCAAGACTGTAAAGTTTGTCTTTGTTGCCCCAACCTCCTCCTCTGGGGCCCTTTCTGTCTCTTTAGGTCCTCCTCAGGACACCAGGGCCTTCATACTAATCTCAGACCCTGTAGTCACACAGGTAGATAGATCTGAAATGGGCATTTGGAGCTTGACTAGTTCCCCCTACAAAGGGGATTTACATTTTAAAGAGGAATTTCGTTCCTTATAGCTTTCTGGTGAGGAACAGATTTTCAGAGGTTTGTGTGTGTGTGTTGGGAGGGACTGGGTGGAAGGGCAGGGTTCCCAGTTCTCTTCATATCAAAGGTACCCTGTGTGTGAGCCCAGCCCTTCCTGTAGGAAGATAATCATCTTTAAAATACGAATCATCAGGTGCATCCTAAGAAGCAAAGATACAAACATATGCTGGAACTTGTATGTATGTCCTACAGCTGCTTGTAAATAACAGGAGTGTCAGATAAATTTAGATGCTTTCTTTTTGGTGCACAGAGTTTAGCTCACAAATGTTAATGCTTGGGTAAAACCAAGTCCTTTCCCTAATTCAAAAAAAAAAAGTGAAAATGGCAGCAGACTTTAGCCTGTAAAAATCATCTTTCCTTTTCATAATGAAGAAGTATGTGGTTAAATATGTGCAAACTGGGCAACGTAATTCCAATGAATCCAATAAACATTTATTAAATGCTTATTATGTGCCAGGCACTGTAATAAGGGTACAATGGGAGTACAATGAATAAAAAGAAAGACAGTCCCTGCCTTCAAAGATCTTACAATCTAGTGGG